TGTGTCAAATTCATTACAAATGTATTACATTCATATATATTGCATTTGATAGTCCTTCCAACTCTCAGAATATACTTAAGCATTTTATAGTGTGCTCATCATCAACTGTCCTCAGTTCAAGTGCTGGCTTACGAGGGAGAGCGAGCACCCCACAACCAATACCCAGATGGAAAAGGAGAGTCGTCCAACGCAAATCATAAACTACAGTTTAAGCCTTATTTTCACCACCAGATTTCTCAGAAAATTTGCAATGGTACTGCTGGTTACCTGCATGCAGCTTGGCACCATTTTGAGCACTGAGCTTCCACACAGCAGTTCACATATGCTACATTTTCCTGGCTTATTTTTGATCTTAAAATAGAGGATCAACAGCTCTTATGCAAGCTAATTAAATATGTGTACACAGACTACCCTTCAGAAACAAAAGCTGCACTATGCTCAGGCTTTTATTTGCAATTGCTGTTTGCAAATGCTAATTAGAGCAACTGAAAATGACTCACATTTTATATATTAAAGCTGATAAAATACTAGTAGGAAAAAAGCTGGGTTTTTTGGCTTTTTTTTTTTTAAATAGTCTTTAGGCATACAAATCAATGCCACCATATGCATAAATGCTAGAAATATTGCTTTCCAGCAGCCCTGCAGGGATGTCCTTAATTTTAGAGACCAGTTGAAATCACCATTCCTTGAATTCCTGGGGCTACTCCAGCTCATATTTTAAGTCAGATATATACAGAAATTTTTGCAATATCAGGCCTTTGGTACATTTTAAATACCCAGTTTGCTCACTGTATTTAAGAATTTCCTTATTTGCGGCGTATCTTCAACATCAGTGTTTCTATTACCTTAGCTACACCAAGTACTTACTAAACTAATCCCATCCAGGGCAGAATGAACAGCAGTATAATGGAAGTTACTGCTCACATCTTCCAGTGTAAAAGCATTACTTGTGATAGGACCCCTCCAAAAAATGTGTCTGGCACCACTACAGGCCAGCCACAGAATTACAACCTTCTGTAAAATAGTACAACAGCCCCAAAGTACTACCGACCATATTTTGTTCAGACATACCAATAAGGGATTTTTCTCCTAAATACTCAGCATTAAACAATATCAAGAATTGCACACAGCACTGTTTATGAATCAGAACTCTAGAGTTAATAATGAGCTTTATAATGGAATTCTTTAAGAAACCACAGTGAATGGGAGAATAAGAAATAAAGTATCCTTTTCTATCCTGAGTTTACACATTAAAGGCCAGCTGCCATTTTATTTTCTGAAAATAATTCAAAGCAAAAAAAACATGACCAGCTAAAAAAAAAAACCATTAAAATCCTAAACAATTCCACTGAAGAGGCACAAATTTAAGTGAGGCCCAGGAAGTCAGGACAACCTCTTGAGAAGGAGAAAACCAGATCCAAGGGACATCTTTCATCTTAAAGATGGTGGTTGTAGATAAATGGGCAGAATTTACAGCCATTTCTGAGCTTTTCTTTTCAGGAAGTTTTAGGCATTTTGGACCACTAAAAGATCAAAAATGATGATTTAATCAGCACAGCCCAGAAATTCAAGAGTGATTTGTAGCCCTTTTATTATCTAGATTAAGCATTCAAAATCTTTTCAAAACAGACTTAATCATATGCCTCTAACTACAATCTACATAGATCAGTTCTAATCACTCACAGTATGCTTTTCTGCTATGAAATTCCCCCCCAACTTACACATTTTGAAGGAATGTTAATAGCAAAGTGTTTTTTCTCCATTATCAGGAGAATTTTATATTACTACTATTTCAAGGCTTTCCAGTGACCAAAGAGAAATTTAAACAAACTCCCAAGATGTTTCCCAGAATTTTCTTCTGGAAGGAAAAGAACAACAACAGAAAAAGAATCAACAAAAACACCACAATAAGAGATCAATTGCATAGCTCTCTTCCATTCAGATCCTTGGAACACCAGCTTTAGGGTTCATGACAAATTATCAGGCACTCTCCCACACAACATAAGTGGCTATATCAAGGCTTCCATCTGTTCTATTACAAAGGTCACCAGAAACCCTCTGGGCCACTATACAGCCATAGAGGATAAGCTTGACCTAAAGCACACCCTCAATCTCTTGACACGTTCTAAAGAATAAGAATGCAATCCCATTCCTGGCTAAAACTGGCAATGAAAGGATGAAATAGAGTTAGAAGGTTTGTGCAGCATTCTGCGTAACTTAGTGTTCTGTTACATCCTTCAGACACCTCAAGGAACTTTTCAAGTGATTACATTCCACCTTATATAAGACTACAGTGTTGTATTTGGTTCTTTGCATCTGATCTTTAACTTTTATCCCAAAAAGTTTGCCAAATCTCCCTGCATTACCTCACTCGTCCATATTGATGAGAATTCAAATCTAATGCCTCCACATTCTTCTCTCACTGAGGTCCAACACAGACTTGAGCAAACTTGTTGCTTCAACACAACATGAAAAGCATCTAATGGGATTCTTACTTCCTTGCTTGCTAAAAACAAAGCCGTTTTGTGAGCCTTAGCTGCCAAACACCACAGGAGTGAACTCTTCACAGCAGCGAGCAGTAGCGCAAACTCCACTGAAGCACCCCTGTAGAACAAGCATATTGACAGAAAGAACTCAGGTCCACTGAGTTTTATACCACTAACATGTTTTTCTCACATAGGAAAAGAGCTAAGAAAGCTGCACAGGGAATCTCCAGATCTGTGTGATTGCCCGCTCATTGTTTGCTGAGCTTTGTTGTTATATTTACCACAAACTTACAGTACACATGAATAAAGAACTGTATCAAGCCAGCATCTAGGAAGAAATTAAAAGGAAGCCACTTGTGACATTGTCACAGTTGTATTCACACACTGTTCAAAACTGGCACATCCAAGAAAAATACACGAGTCTGCCCTCTCCCTCTTTCATCCCCACAAGTCTCTAAGTTAAAGTGCACTGGAAATCTCAAATAGATACTTCTTAATCTTCAGCGAGAAAAGGCCTTGAAGTTTCTTATTTCCATAATTTAAGCAGAAATCTAATGACTGTTCTTTAGAAGGATTTTTTCTTAATCATTCCTGTGAGTCATAAATAGGATATGAAATAATAAGAGGTGACATGAACTCTATTCCAGAACAGGCACTCCAGAATGAAAGTGGCATTACTGCTTATCTTTTGCTTCTCATTATTCATCTGTTTCATGCCTCTTCATTGCCAAGATAGTTTAACATTTCTGATGCTTCATATTTTACTGAGGTCTAATTGCAAATAGCTTCAAGAGTGGAAGAAAAAAGCGATAAAGACATAGGCTAAGGGATTTTTGTTTAAACAGTAGATGCTGTTGCTATACAATTTAAAACAAATTAACTTGGGGGGTAACACAGGACTGGAAACAGACAAGGCTGCTTCTTGATCTCAAGCTGATGGAGGTCAGGGTGAGAAAGGTTAACATAACTATTGCAGATTTCGCATCCATCTCCCAATTGTTACATTATGTTATAGAGGTCTCATTACAAATAAGGCACACATGCACTGAAATAGACTGGTTTCCACACCAAAGACAGTCACAGAATACAACTCCTTCTGCTAAAATAGAAGGATTTTTTACAAACATAAATGCAAATAGGAGGATTCTTCAAAAATCAGACTCAAGAAATGAAGATAGTAATTATGTCTCTATCTAGATTAAAAATGAGAAATGGAAATTAACTGAAAGTGTGATGATAGATTCATACAAAAATACGAGCAACCAACTCAGGAAAGCTTCCTTCATTGGTAACGACGTACTAAAGTACAATATTTACAAAGCAATATGTGCAATGATGTTTTGATGTTGGTGTTCAACACGGAGTTACCGTTACATTCTGTCACAGAAGTAGAGCAAGCAGGCTACTGTGACTGTCCCAAATCGAAGGGTAGACAGCAATGACTTACCCGAGGAATACAAAAATCCTTCCCTGCTATGGACTTCCCATTAAGTTCACTTCTCTCACAAGCCTTCACATACATTTAGCAATTTTGCAAGAAATCTTAATAGATTTTTCACTCTCCCATTCTTCCTTTAGAAAGGACCAAAAGTAGCATCTGATATAGCTGTAATATATAACTGCTCTATAAATATATTGTTGTAGGCAGCAACAATGACAGCAAAAACCTGATGGAAAGCCACCAGTCCAGCCCCCGCCACATCTCATTTCTGATCACGCCTTCCTTGCTCTCTCCATCAACAGGAGCAAGGTACACAGAACTACACCCCCTCACAGCCTTCCTTAAATAGACACAGTGACTTGCCAAAATGGTATCTACACTGTCTCACATGTCACAAGAGTTCATAGCACCGCTGAACAGATGGGGCAAAGATGAAGGTGGCAAGGAAACCTGAAAGAGATGTGCAGAGGGCCATGCAGCAGTAATCTACAGTTTTAATTTACACCGTATAATTTTCTTTCCACATTTCGTATCACAAGTATTATTATCCTTTTAGTCTTTTAAACTCACTTATTATTCTCAAGGCTGGAAGAAGTGAAGGATTTCTGACAGTAACAAAGTACATCTGCAAACAGGTCCAAGTGAAGAGTGTACAAAAAATAGAGCTCATGATTTTAGAGATCAGGAAAAACAGAAGCAGGTCTGACTGGAATGAAATGTGATCTCTTCAGCTTTCCAATCAACTCACAGAAAAGCAGACCATGCATATATTCTTCCCTTCCATTTTCATTAAAGGTCTTCTGAACCAAGAATGTGTGAAGGAGAAGGTAGGTTCTGTTTGGGTGCCATTCACAAAGTTGGATCTCTGACATAACCACTTTCTAAAATTGCATTTTTGGTAGCAGTGATTGATGCTATCCTAGTCCTCAATCACTGCCTTCAAATGCCTACTGACTATTAAAACAGGATGACATGGGAAAAATTAAAATGAAATTTTTCCACCAGAACAAGAGTTTCACAATGCAGAAATACAGCAGTCACCTTTCATATAGCATATGAAAAATACTGGATACCTGCAGTAAATTACACAGATTGCTCGAGGAGTTGGATAGATTCTATAGAAGAACTGGGTTTTCAATGTGCCTTCACTATGCTCTGCAGTTGGCAGTGTTATCTGCTTATTTACACACGTGTCCCGAGCTGTTGCTTACTTTGCACAACACGGTACCAGGCAACAAGGACTCCATACCTGCAGATGAAATTGAAGATTTTCAGCATGAGCAGAACCATAGGCAACAGCAATATTATTATTAGGAAATGCTGCAATGCATTCAAAAGACTACTGATATCCCTGTCTACATGCAAAGCTTAATCAAAAGATTAAACAGAAATTGCCAGACTGAGGTACCAATACAGAAAGCCTCATTTCTCCTCCTGTCCAAAGTAACCCCTATCACTTCAGAGTGTGCTATCTGGCCAAAGCCTGACCTTGTGTCTTTGATTTGGGGCTAGAAGCAATATGCACAAATATTTATCTAAGCACATTTTCACTCAGCTTTGATCTACTAAAACATATGCAAAAGAAGTTCAAAGTTACCAGTGCAAAAGCAAGAGAGAAAAATGTCTGGCTCATAAACAAAGGACTACAGCTAAGTGTATTTAAGGCACATATGTATGGCTGAATATTTTATTTTCATTTCTGATGCCAATATTGAGCCATCTGGCTTTCCTTGAGGCATTTCTTTTTCTTTTCTTTTTTTTTTTTTTAAAGACTCTTCAATAGCAAGGCACTAAAAAGGAAAACCAGGTTCTTTAGTTTGAACCACTGCAGGCTATCAACCACCACACCGTTGTTGAACCAGCATGAAACATACTATTAAGAAAGTTTCTATTTTCTAAAACAGCTCTTCATTGTCTGAAATATTCATCCCCCTTTATCCCACTAAACATTAGTCCTAATGGCCATATGGCTGGACATTTATAATTAACAGCTTTTATCAAAATAAATTCACTACTTTGAATTTTTAATAGGTTTTTCCATTAGCAATCTTCACTGAAGGGTAAAAAAAAAGAAAAGCTCTTTCTAAAATAATAAGAGAGCAATATGAAGTTGTGGAGGTGTGTGCAGGCAGGAAGCAGCAGGCTGTATGTGATCTTGGCCAATCACCCTGAACAAGCACTGCGTACCTGCACAGAAACTTTAGCAAGAAGCACATAAAATGCTGGATGAATGAAAAAGAATCCCAGGTTCCAAACCATGGACCTACTGCTTGTACAGCACTAAGAATCCGAATCGGCCTTGGAGAAATCCACCCCCAAATATTAGTTTGCTCTCAAACAAACAACACAGCATCAAAAGGCTTCAGCGTTTGAGTGACTTTACAATCTAACCTTGTCTGTTAAGGGTACTTTCTATTTTTTTCAATAACATGGAAGGCAGAGAACTGCAGCCATTTCAGCAGCCTTCCAACACCAGCACAGCACTACAAGTTTCTAGTGAGGCACTGCACATTAGCACTGCCTCATCGTTGCAGGGGCTGTTTTCTCCATCCATACTGCCTCATTTTGTGCTGTACTAACAAGAATTTGGTTGTTAGATTTCCACATCCACTCATTACTCCCTTTCCTTGTTTATATAAATTACCAGGGCTTGTTATTTGTCAGGATTCATATCTGTGAATTTAATGGAACTGCACTTCTCAAAATCACCCACACTGTCAACAGCTCTAATTTGTTTATGTCAAATCAGTCTTTTTTTTCCCCATTTACCCTTCTGTTTCATACCATTTATATTAGCTTGTCAGCTGGGATTTTATTTATTTATTTGCTTTGGAAGGTTTGCTTCTGTGAAACCCTGATGGCAGAAGAACTGCACAGCTCAAGGGACAAGAAATAAGATATAAATGCTCTCAGCACTAAGCTGCTACTTCCAATTTGGTCCTGGTCAGAAGCAACAGAAGCTGCAGACAGTTTTTGCATTTACTATAAAAACAGATATGGGCTGCTTTTTTAAATTATTTTTCATCCTCCTCTTTCTTACTATCTTACTAGCCACCGCCCTATGAAATGCTGAAGAAACATTAAGCTTTCTTGTGGAAATTCAGGCACATATTGATTTTATAAAGTCCCTACCTCCACCAGCTATCTAAGCACTAGGATTGCATTTCTCTCTCAGAAATCAGGCAAGAAATACAAGTATTCTTCCTGTATTTAAATACAGAACTTGGCCAAGAGGTTACAAGTACTAAGATAAAGAAGCAGGTAATGAATATATACTCAGAAGGAATGAAAACCATTGCTCACACACATGCCCAGTATTTGCTTTTCAGTGTTATGCAAGGTCATTCCTTGATGCTACACATATCCAAAGCAAAGACAGAGCCACAGCTTTCATTGATCATTAAGGAACAACTGTTATAACCAAATGGAGCATAGCAGACACACCCCATGACAAGTTTGGTGAATACCTAAAAGATGGCATGTTGTCCAGAGTCACTGTGGGGTACAGCACATATTGAAGGCAAACATTTAATTAAAACAATTTGGAAAAGATTACAAGGGAAGAGAAAGCATCCAGAAAAAGATGGCTTCCTGATTCTTAAAGACAAACTATTCACTGAGAAGGTGCTTCTGGTGATTGCACAGCATTCTGTATTTCCTGAAATAAAGCAGCCCAACTCAAGCCATGTTTGTGAAGGCACCTTGGTCCTCAATGCTTCCCCAGCTCTGCAGAGAGGCAGAAGCAGACATGCTCCTCTCAGACACTTCCCATTCCCATGCTGCAGCCCTCCCCGCAGCACAGCCCCTGCAGCTGGGCTTTGCAGGCAGGCACAGAGCAGCTCCTGCTGTTCTCCACCCAGTTTTGTACCGCACCAATTTAATCAAGCAGCAAGCTCCTTCTGTCAGCGCTCTTTGGCTGCAGCCTGGCATACCAGCTCATTTACTGGCCAACTTGCTTTTCAGACTGTTGACAATAGCTCAGCATTTTGAATGCTTAACACATCATATATTCTATTGTGGCGCTTCTGCTTTCCAGTTCACTCTGGGTACTGATTTTTCCCAGTCGTGGTGAGATTTACATGCTGGCAAAGCCTTAAAGTGATTAATGGAAATAATTCTGGATATGATGGCAGGGTTGCGCTTAGAAAGAGAACAAAACTCCTATATTTCAGTTGTCACGCTGAAGTCAACAAATGCTTATTACTGTTAAAATACTTACTGTAATTTGTGCATTTTTACTTTCTGTAACTTCTCTCCTAAAAAGTCTTTACATTTCACAGCAGCAATATTAGTGCAATTATTGTATCATCAGTACCAAAACAAGTTGCTATTTTAGGAGTTCATGGATCTTCCCTGCTGCTTAAAGTACAAAAAAAAGCCTTGTGCTAAATTTAGCTCACACGGTTTTAGCATTTGTGGGAAAAAAGCTGTGGTGCATCTTAAGTCAGTGTGAGCATTTCCTAGATTTCATCAGGCCAGGATTTATTCCATTCATATTCACCCAACAGAGGCAAAAAAGCAGCCCCACATAATAATAAATACATAGGATCAAATCTTGTTGCTCATTTATACTCACTTATACAACAGGCTTTCAGCTACACATAAGTATAGCGTGCACTAATTTTACAAACACTTACAAACTCTAATTTAAACCCCAAACAAGAAATATTCTGAGTACTTCCACAGTGAGATGCAATCATCATTATTCTTCTTGCAGCACACTGAGATGGAACTGATCCCAGCTGCTCAGTCAGTGAAGCCAGAAATCAAAGTTGAGATAATGCAAAATCTGGACTAGTTTCCTGCTTGAGTCAAAGATCTGTTCTTTGGGATAAAACCCAGGACACTCCTTAGTCTTGAAGCCTACCTGAATAAGATTATTGCTAAGATTTGAAAGCCTGCAAAAACAACTTAGCTAGACATCAAGATCACCACGTTAAGAGACTCCACATGCTACATGATACAGAGAAAATAAGCCTAGAAACATCACATCATCAACTGCCCTGCTCCAGCTTGAGAGTAATCTACAATCCAGCCCACACAGGTACTTTTAACCTATCATTAAAGACTTCCAAAGGCAGAGAACAGATCAGCTCTTTGTCTAAGCTGCTTCGGACTGAAAATACTCAAGCCTGCTCTCAGTGGGTGACAGAGAATAGCAGGTCACCTCTGTGCTTACAAACTTTCACATACTGGACATTAATTGCCTCAGCTTCTCAAAGCTCATACCATCCAAAAGACACAATAAAACACACATAGAATTCTTGTCTGCTGCTTTCTGAAAACGTAATTATTAAAAGAGAATTTCCCAAACTGTAATAATGTTGCACATAGGACCATCCTATTCATTTACCCAGGAGTAATCAAGAAACAGCACGGTATCAAACCTTATATTCAGTTTGTGGTCTACAAACTGAATCTGTTCTGAAAAGGTCCAGAACATTTTTAGAAGTGCTGCTGCCTAATCAGTTTATCCTCATCTTCTGCTTGATTGTTAAAGCAGACTGCTTTATACTTAGATGCAGCATCACATGGCTGGTGCTTGATGAACCTAGCAGATGTGGCATCATTGCCCACTAGTTCCTTTTTTAACATTGGGTGGGAAATTACCATTATAAATAGATCACATATACAAATAGGCCACTTTACATTAGAAACCAAATGGGCCAGACAATAGAGTGAACAGCAATAGCAATTGTCACAATAGCTTTCCTGCTTACTTATATCAGCTTTAGTAATGCATTTTCTGTCATTATTACTGTTTAATTAATATTAAGCACTAATTAGCATCAATTTTCCACAGAACCCTGAGCACACATGGAGGACAAGTAAAGAGATGAGGTCAGCACTGGCTGTTCCACAAGTAGTAGACCATACTCTGGGCTAATCACAGAAAGGAAATACCATATTTCTTATAATTCCTAATCCTGAGAGAGAAATTATGCTGCTTAAATTGAGACAAGGTTCCCCCATAGTCAGTTAATTCATCTAGTTATCTACACAAATATAGTAAAGCCAACAAAATAGCAGCTACTCAAACCCCAAACAAAAGCTCTGATTTTTCTAGTCAGCAAGAACCAGCAACAGTCTAAGATTTACGAGAGAACAAGCTTGGTTCATTTATACTGCCTAATCTCTTGACACCACTGCAGTAGAGACCTGAAGACCAAAAGCTACAGAGGGGTGAAAGCATCATTACAGAA